AGGAAGACTAGGAGTAGTAGGAGGAGGAGGAGGAGGCGGAGGAGGAGGGGGAGAAGGAGGGAGAGGAGGAGGAGGGCCAGCGTAACCCCCAGCCGCATCAACGATGTAGGAAGCTGCGTCCTAACAACCCTAAACCGAGCCTAAACATCGTTCCTGCTACTTCAACCATACGAATCCTTGCAACGACTGTAACTTGAAAAACAAAAAACGAATGTACGCGATGCTGAAGAGAGAGCATCATATCGAAACCATGTGACAACCACCCACCCTCCATCCTTGAAGCTGTTGCGAACTTGAAGACGAACGTGCACGGGGCTAAAGCGATGCCCGCATTTTGAAAACGGCCCGCCCTCCATCCTTGAAGCTGTTGCAGCATGCAGTGTTCACGATCATGCATGGTGAGGCCATCTCAAGCGAAACGCCCAGCCCGCCCTACCAACAAGCCTGGGGGTGCGACAGGAGGAGTTACTTATAAGGAAGAGGGATGGAGGAGGAGGACGATGACTGGGGAGGAATCAAAAAACAGTTGTGTGCGGGTTCGGGGGCTGTCTGGGGCTCCTGTACGCTATCGAAGACTACGGTCTCTGCTACAAGCAAACCGTCTGCATCGCCATGAGCGTCCCGAGGTCCGCGCGGATTTCTTGGATCGGCGCCGCCCCCTCCCTGGCGCGCGGAGCGCGCCAGTGGCCGCGCAAGAGTCGCCGCCGCGGGGCCCCGCGCCGATCCAAGAAATCAGCGCGCACTTCCGCAAGTGCAAACGTGTGCAAATGTGTCTCCTCGGGCTTGCGGGGGAGGAGGGCGAAAGGGAGAGGGAAGAGGGAACCAATGAGGAAGCAAAGGAGAGGAGGCGGAGCGGAACCACCGGAGGCGCTCCTGTGGTGGGGGCTGCGCGACCTGCTCTGCAGCGCGCGGGGCGCGACGACACTGAATGGGGTGGATACGCCGGGCAGCGAGATCCCGGCCTCGGGCGGGCAGGCGGCGGCCGCCCTCCTTCTCTCATCCTCCTCTCATCCGCCTGCTCCTCTCCACCCGTGTATCCTCCTGCACATCCCCCTACGCCTCCTACGTGGCCCACGGCTGATGCTACTACCGCCAACAACATTACGAAGACCACCACCACTACTACGACTGCTGCTTTTCTTACGATTACTCCTACCACGACGACGACGCCAACGCCGGCCCCGACAACGACGACGACGACGACGACGACGATAACGACGACAACGACAACGACAACGACGACGACGACGACGCCGACGACGACGAACACGACGACGACGACGACGACGACGACGACGACGACGACGACGACGACGACGACTACTACTACTACTACTGCTACTACTGCACATGAACATGAGTATGAGCGGGTCTGAACCTGAGTGTGACTCAGTGGATGAGAATGCGTGTGAATGAACATGAACATGAGTGTGAGTAAGTCCGGGTATGAGTGACCTGAGTGCGAGTGACTCTGTGTACAGGTGCGTATGGGTCCGACAACGACGCAGCGTGAGTCAGTCTGAACATGAGTGGGCCTGTGTGGGTGAGTAGCAAGAGGCGGGTGAATGTGAGGCGGAGGCGACCCGATAAGAACAAGAACCCCATCTCAGGAGATGGGGAATGTATATAGGCCCGCGCTCCCTAATCTCCATGACGACCGAGGCGGGCCGCCAAGACCGCCAAGATGCCGCCAAGACGACCGAAGATGGCCTCGAGACGGCCAGACATCGCCCCACGACGACCTAAGAGGCCCCCCAAGACGCCCCGAGAGGGCGGCCAGAGGACTCCCAGCAGCGCTCCAAGAGACCAGCTGTTCAAAAGTTTGCGCGGCTTCGCCTTTTTAGGACTTCCTTCAGTTCCAGAAGGCCCCAAGACAGCCCAAGAGGGCCCCGAGACAGCCAAGTATGGCCACAAGACTGCCTCGAGCTGGCCCAAGAGGCCCTGTGGAGGAACCCAGTACCAAGTTACACGGTATCCCGACGACGCCAGACGGCCCCAAGACAGCCCCACGACGGAAGCAACAGACCCGCCAGACGGGCAAGAGGGCATCAAGATAGCTCAAGACAGCTCCAAAACGGCCCACGAGGGCCCCGAGACGGCCCAAAATGGCCCAAAGGACTTCCGATCCTGCCTCAAGGGAACCCACGAAAGTATGGACGAAAGGGGGGACAACGACGAAGGCGAGAACATAATCCCCTACGTGCACGACGCGGAAGAATGTGTCATGAGTTCTGGCTCTCCAGAGCCCGCCCGGGACACGGGCTGTCACACGTGACGGCCTCCCGTGACCCCGCCAGAGTCACCACCCAAAATGTTGGGCTGGTACGGTGGCGGGACTCGCAGCAGGCAGCTGGATACGTCTCCTCTCCATCTCCCTTCCATCAATTAGTTGCGCCAAGTATCCTTGCTACACAAGTTGTGCCAGACACCGCGCGCCCCACTGAATCGCGAATTCACCCTCCCTCCCCCCATTTGCCTAACTTCCATACGCTGCGCCACAAGTTGCGCTGGACACTCCGTGCCCCATCAGACTCGAACGCACCAGATTTGCATAGCTGTTCTAATTTGCGCCAGTTTGTGCCAGACACCCCTACGCCCCACCGAATCATGATTCCCCCCTCGCGTGTATGTTCGATAAGTCGTGCAAAAGGTAGCGCCAGACGACAGTTCCACACCCCGTCTACCTTCCATAGGTTGCACCATCAGGTGCGCCAGACATCCCGTGCCCCACCAGAATGTGATTATACATTCCATAGGTTGCACCATGGGTTTCAGCATAGGCTGCGCCACACACTGTGCCCCGCTGAATTGCGATTTTCCCCCTCTGTCTACTTTCCCTAGGTCGCGCCATGGGTTGCGCCAGACAACTCTGTGCCCCACCGAATTGCGATGTCCCCCCTCTGTCTACCTTCCCTGGGTTGCGCTACCACACGCAGCGCCAGACACCCCACATCCACCGGATTGCGGTTCCGTCCCCTGCCTTCCACATGCTGCACCATGGGTTGCGCCAATCTGCACCAGACACCCCGCGACAGACAAAGGCTAGCGTTCCCTCCCTCCCTCCCTCCTTCTGTCCACAGTCATCGAGCTACCAAAAGGTACCACCAGGCACGCAGAAGAAGAAATGGCGGGGGGCATTCCTGGCCACGGCGAACCTCGGCCGCAAATAGACTCTCCCCGAACTAGACTCGAGGGACGGCCCGACCACCGGCGCCCCATCCGGAGCCCCAAGGGGGTCCTGCTCTCGGCGTCTTGGCTGCTCCCCCCCTATTCTTTGCGCATCGGATGCGCCCCGACGCCTCGGGCATCACGGCATTGGAATTCCCCCCCCCCCCCCCCGCTCTGTCTGCCTTCCGCAGGCTGCGCCGTGAAGGTGCGAAAAAGGTGCGCCAGGCGCCTCACGCCCCACGGAGTCGCGAGTTTCCCCCACGACGGTCCCAGGACTGACCGGTTGCAGCATTCGCTGTTTCGGATGAGTAGGGGCAGATTTGCCGCCGATCTTTTGACATCCCATTTGTCTCGAGGTCTTCTGTGGTCCCCAGGACCCTCGGGGGGCAAACCAGGGGGCGTGGTGCACCCACCGACACGCCGATTTTGCTTCTTTGGTGCGCCTCGCCCGAGAGACCTGGCACTCCGACGCCGTGACAAGTTTCACAGCGTGGACCCCCGGGACGTCTGGACGTCCCAGGACAGGCGGCCGAGAGCCCGAGCGCCCGAGGCCGAGCACGATGCCCGAGCCCGAGCCCGAGCCCGAGCCCGAGGCCCGAGCCCGAGGCCGAGCCCGAGCCCGAGGCCGAGCCCGAGCCCGAGGCCTGGCCCGAGCCCGACGAATCCGTTTCGGCCCGAGCCAGTCTTCAGACGGCTCCGGGGCCTGGCAGCGGCTGGCCCCCAGAGGCCGAGAGCAGTGCCCGGAATCGTCCGTCCTCCCTGCGGTCGCAGCGAGGGGCAGGGGGAGGGGGCTCCATAGAGGTGCGGACCCACTCCCAGGGGGTTCGCTTCGTCCCAGATCCATTTCTGATGGACCCGCGGGGTCCCCGAGGACGGCCCCTGGAGGCCCAAGTCTAGGAGAAACGCCAGGCAGTGGGCACCAGGCAGGCGGCACTGATCTGAAAACGCATGAAGAACGCAACGAACACGAACAGAACATGAAAGGGCGAGCGAGGGGGGATGTCAGAAAATGCCCTCTTAGAAGACAGAGGGGCTTCTCAGAAGCCCTCCGGCCTTCTGAGAAGTTTGCTGTGTCTTCGGGGAAGGCTCAGGAAGCTGCTCCGAAAGCCGGGGGACCTCCGAGCCTTCTGAGAAGGCCCGCCCCCTCTCACTTCCCCCCCCGGGCTGGCCACCGACTCCACCAGTAGGTGGCCACATCCGAAGCCCCATCCCCGCCAACCACCCTGACTCCAGATCCGCCCTACTTTGGCTTTTTTCCAACTTAAAATTGCGTCGGAAATCCACCTATAAGAAGCCGAACAAGTAGGGCGGAAATTTCTGCACCCAACATAAAATAGAGCGAAAATCCACAGAAGTAGGGCGGACACAACAACAGAAACGTAGGGCGGAAACTGGCATCCGCGGGGCTTGAAAGGTAAGACGGAGATTCCAAGCCCTTCTTACGAATTTCCCCAACGTAGGGCGGATCCGGAGTCAGGGCACTGCCTCCCCTGAACCGCTGGGAGGCCAGGGCAGGGCTCGGACCCCGCCACGTGCTCGACGCACCCCGAGCCCTGCCCTCGCCGCCCGTCGAGCTCCCCGAGCCGTGGATCGGCGAGGGCCGGGCTCGGGTCGCGCCAGCGATCCTCCTCCTCCTCCTCCTCCTCCTCCTCCTCGTTCTCCTGGTCCTCCTCCTCCTCCTCCCTCCTCTCCTCCTCCTCCGCCTCCTCCCTCCTCCTCCTCCTCCTCCTCTCCTCCTCCTCCTCCTCTCCTCTCCTCCTCCCTCCTCCTCCTCCCTCCTCCTCCTCCCCTCCCTCCTCCCTCCTCCCCCTCCTCCTCCTCCTCCTCCTCCCTCCTCCTCCCTCCTCCCTCCTCCTCACTCTCCTCCCTCCTCCCTCCGCCCTCCTCCCTCCTCCTCCCTCCTCCTCCCTCCTCCTCCTTCCTCCCTCCTCCTCCTTCCTCCCTCCAGGCCTCGAGCTCCTCGCGCGAGAAGTTGTAGAGCTCGTGGTTCCCCAGCAGGTGCACGGCGGGCGGCCCGCCCTCCAGCGGGCGCAGCAGCGCGGCCAGGGCGCGCTCGGCCTCGGCCCGCGGCGCCTCCCGGTTGACTCCGTCGATGAAGTCGCCGAGCTGCGCGACGAAGTCCACGCCCTCCTCGAGCGCGCTTTTTGCGATCCGCGATGACGGCCGCTATCGGGGATGCTGCCCTCCCATCGGGCGCTGGCGGAACTGGGTTTCGTGGGGCCTGCTTCCGTGACGAGCGCTGGGGGGCGCTCTCCCCCCCCGCCCCGTTCCACGAAGCGGAACTGCCGTCGCCCGAAAAAACACGAGCTACGGCAGACCTGGTTTAGTGATTCTGGCCAATTTCGGGGCTCTGGGGCCCTACCACTCACCGGGCCCCCTTACTTTGGGTCCTGGCTATACCCGATCCCACTCCTCCCCCCCCACACACCTGGTAGCGTCACTGTTCGCGCCGGCGCCGTTTGGAAATAGGGGCAACTACAATCCTCCCCCTCTCCGTCTCGGGAGCCTTTCTGGGCGCCCCTCCTCGGTCCACCACCTGCACGCGGCCTCCCAGATCTTGCGGGACTGCCGGTACCGGCGCTCGACCGTGCGCGAGAAGTTGTGCCCATCCTGGACGCACGGCAGGATGCCCTCTTCGTGGGATCTTTGGTCTCTTCTTTCTGCCAGTCTTTTTTTTTTTCTCTCTCTCTCTCTCTCCATATGTATAACGTACAAATAGATACCTGTACATGTACATGCACAACTTCCTCGTTCTCTGCCCCGAGGCCCGGTTCCTCACTCCCTCCACATTCTGAGCAGCTCATCCTGGCTGCACCGCCAAACAAATCGACGTGTTGGCAGGCCGGGCCTGGGCGTTCCGCGTGTGTGTGTGCGTGACCACACAACTCAAATTTCTAAACCTCGAGGCTTCCAACAGCGACACATGATGCCGCCAGAGCAGGAGGAGGAGGAGGAGCAGGAGGAGGAGGAGGAGCAGGACTCGTTATCGACACATGATATCGACACCTGTGGTATCATGGAGGCAGACTCGTTATCGACACATGATACCGCCAGGGCGTCGCACTTTTTCTTGCCCCAGGGCACTCCAGTAACTGCATTGATGGATGGACGGGTGGTCCTTTCCAACATGTGGCTCTCGCCTTCGCGGCCTGCGCGTCCGCGCAGTACGTTCCCAACCACTGCGTGTCGCCGCGCCGTTCGTGCCGACGCGCGGCCCCTCTTCGAGAGGACGCCTCGGCCACCAGGGCAATCTCCGCCTGGCAACCAGGGCCTGCCGCAGGTTTGGCGCGGTGTCGGCGTCGTCCACCTCGGCGCGTCGAGAAGAGACGGCGCGGCGACACACGGATGGAGACGATACGATTATGGCTCTCGTCTGGGCGCCACGCACACCGACTGAAGCAGCACCCAATGATCGCACGTGGTAGGAAGGGCTCATGTTTCAAAATTCTCTCTTGGGGACCGTTTTGGGCCGTGTTGGAGCGAGTTCGGGTACGTTTTCCCAAAAAGAACAAGGACTTGTTTGATGCTCGAGGGTCCTCTTGGGGGCCTCTTTAGTCGTCTTGGGGGCTTCTTGGGCCCTCTTGGAGCGCTTTTCGGCCGTCTTGTCGCCATGCGGGGCGTCTCTGAGGCTGTTTTGGCGGCATCTTCGGCCGTCTTGGGTGGCTTGGGCCGTCTTGTGAGCATTACCGAAGAGTCCCAAGGGCCCCTGACTCAGTACTGCATTGTCCAAGGGCTGTTTTGGGAGCCCCTTGGAATTAGGTGCGCCTGGGGTGTGCCCCATCCATGGTGGGGGGTCCCGTGTCAAGGGAAGAGTAGCATACATATACAGTCGGGGCGCTGACCTAAGGAACCCTAAATAAGCAGCGAGGCCCCTATTTTCCATAAGTTAAACTTCGATTCCATATCGAAAACCTAAGGAAAAACCTAAGGCAAGCTGTGAAACAATCAAGGAACACCGAGCCCCTCCCCAACGAAAAGGGTTCCTTCTCCAGGGCCCCGACTGCATACACGTATAAAGAACGCCTCTGGTGGAGGATGCCGCAGTGCCCACCCGGGCGGTGCCAAGGTGGGCCACCACCAGGGGGCTTCGGGGTCACCACCAGGGCGGAGCCGCCACCTCCTCGACCCCCTGGACACCCCACCCGCCCAGAGCACTCACGGCCCGACGCCGTCCGACGACGATGAAGACGACGACGAAGACGACGACAAGGACTTCGAGGACGAGGCCGACGACGAGGACAAGGGCGAGGACGAGGGCGGCGACGACGAACCCTCCCGGCCCTCCATCCCCTGCAGTAGCCGCCGTGGCCCCATGGTTGCCCCCCTTGGCGGCGCTGCATGGCCCACGAGGGCGGGCCGTCCCAGGGGCCGCTCGCGGGGGTCCTCCCGGTCCGCATACTGCACGTCCGCGATGAGGCCGAAGCGGAAGAGGGGCTCCGCCTCTGCGCGTCCGGCCCCACGCACGCCCCGAGCAGTCGGCAGGAGAGAGACAGAGCATGAGGGCAAAGGATCCTGGGTCCCGGGGCTTTTCCCCGGGGCGGGAGGAGGAGTAGGAGGAGGAGGAGGAGGAGGAGGAGGAGGAGGAGGAGGAGGAGGAGCAGAAGAAGCAGGAGGAGGAGGAGACGAGCGTAGGGGGGTGAAGGAGCAGGAGGAGGAGGAGGAGGAGGAGGAGGAGGAGTGTAAACCGAAGATGCGTCAACGTTGTTGCGATATACCCTCCCTCCAAGTTCGCGCCGCATAGGAACCTGCAACAAAGTCTTCTCATTGCGGGAACTGCACCGTTGGAAGACATCCGTCAGATAATCCCCAGTCGTGCCAAAACACGTTTCCTGGAACTTCGATGCCAAGACTCAACGTGACTCTTGCGTCCTGGCAATCCTAAATCGCGCAAGAGCACCATGCTTGGGACTTCCACACCGCGAGGCGGCGTGACTGATGCGTCCTGGCAGTCCGAACGCGTGCCAAAACACCACTCCTGGGACTTCCATCGCACGGACAAATGTGCGCGGCGCTGATCTGAGAGCCACACTTTGAAAAGGAACCGCCGTCCATCTTCGGAACCGCTGCAGACGTGTCGCAAGAATGTGCGCAGCGCTAGATCGCGAGCAGCATGTTCAAAACTACCCCCCCTCCATCCTTCAAGCTGCTGCACACCTTTTCAAACACATGTGCGCGGCGTCAATGCGAAAGCCACATGTTGAAAACCACCCGCACTTCATCTCTGAATCTGCTGCAGGCTTTTAAAACGGATACGCGCGGCGCGAAAAAGGCGAGCCACATGTTGAAAGCGGATTGCCATCCATCCTTGAAATGCCATCCATCCTTGAAACTAGTGCAGCTATCAAGCTTCAAAGCCGTGAATGGTGAGGACGTCTCGGGCGAAACGTTCCGTCCGCCCTTAGGACAAAAAGCTGCTCTAGAACAGGAGTATGCCGTAGAGGGGTCTACCCTGTCTCCGACCTTGAACTGCGCCGAACGCATCGGCCGCGTTGTCCAGAGACGCATCCGCTACGAATGCGCCTTCAAAACGTAACGACACCCAATGTGTTCTATAGACGCTTGTGGCTAGAAAATGCAAGCTGCATGTGACACCTGCCCCAGAGATGGATCTTTTAGAAGCAGGTCGACTTTGCCACCCAATGGAGAAGGAGGAACAAGAGGAGGAGGAGGAGGAGGAGGAGGAGGAGGAGGAGGAGGAGGAGGAGGAGGAGGAGGAGGAGGAGGAGGAGGAGGAGGAGGAGGAGAGATCCTTCATCCTGAGTCGTTCTTGGACGGGCCCGGGACGCAGGGAGGGCACGGGGAGGCCCACAGGAGCGGCCCAGAACCTCCGGGGCCCGTTTCCCTCCGGGCCCCCTCGCCTCCGTGGCGTGGCGACACTTTTTGATCCGCGGGTCGAGAGCGCACCTCTTCCGGTCGAAGCTAAGCGGGCCGCGCGAAGCTTGAATTAACAGAGAGGGGGGAAGAAGGAGCGCAGCCTCACGGCGAGGCCAGGAGGAGGCAAAGCCCCGGGATCAGGCGGTGCCGAAAACGACGTGCTCGCAAAGGAAGCCTCCGCGGCGGCACGACCGGCGCGAGCAGAGAGCGCCGGAGACCCGCGCGGGCTGCTCGGGCAGGCAGGCGCTCGCCCGCCTCCCCACTCGGGGATGGACAGACCCCCCTTTTGTAGAACGTGGTTTAGTGAAAACGACCTGAGGCCCAAACCTGGCGGGCGCAAGCCTGGAAAATAACGGCCAGAGCATCGTCAAGACTGTCGCGGTGCGTGCGCCTCCAGAGGCAAGGTCAGGCAGCCACGGCGCCCTCTCGAGAACCGAAAACGGACAATTCACTAATCGACGTGTCACTGTTGGGGGTTCTGTCCACCCCCGACCCACCACAGGGCGGGGTGCGAAGTCCCTGTGGGCGGGACGGGGTGGGCACTGAGGGGCACCATGGGCCCTTCCAAAGCCAAAGGTGGGCACCATACGCCACCACCGACGGAGGTGTACGCCATATGTCCTCCACCCCTCACTCCATGCAAAACACTCCGTGGACCTTTCAACTTGATGCCTCAACTTCTTTCCAGACCCCCTCGCGCCGCGAGAAAGTCCGGGGCGACAGGCTTTGTGCAGCTTTCGGCCTCGTGGGGGCCCTTCCCTCGGCTGTCTCCAAAGATGGAGCCTGGCGAGAGGGGGCCCTGAGAGTCGAGTGGCCTCGGACTATGAAGGGTCTGCTTGAGGTCCCTTTCCTGCTCTTAACTATGGGGCCCCATCCCTCAGGACCCCATCTATGAACCGCCGATTACCAGGCCCGGGAGCCGTTGACAGACTGCGGGGCCCCAAAATCATGTGGAGACGGACCGCGTGGTGACCTCGGAATCCCAACGGCCTCACCGCTCGGTCCGTTACCGCACGGCTTCAGGACCCTGGATGCCCCAGTCGCTCGAGACGTCCTCGGAGAACGACCCGAATCCCAAAACCGTGCGGCTATAGAGTCTATAGAGGATCAGGGAACGGCTTAAACAGAAGCTGTTGGAGATCCGCGCGGATTTGTTGGATCGGCGCTGGGCCCCGCTGGCGGCGCCTCTGGCGCGCCAGGAAGGGGGATCCAGCGCTGATCAAAACAAAACCGCGCGGAGCTACAACAGCTTATGTTTCTGTAGGTTTTTGCCTTTCGAGGTGACCTCAAATCCCCACCGGCCCACCAAATGGTGTGGTCACCACACCGTTGGGCAGGATGTCCCCAAATCGAACTGGAAAATCGAAGCGGCAATTGAAAAACATCGAATCGACCGGAATCGGCATGCAGACCGGTCGAAACCGACGACCGGCGGCCCGAGCCGAAGCATACACGAGGAAGTCCAAACTCAAGTCGGAATCCAGAGTCGAATCGAATCGAAATCGAAATCCTCAAATCGAAGCGATTCGACTCAACAGAGTCAAAATGGACCGACGGACGGCTCAGGATGAAACGCCAGTCCCGGGGGAGGGGGCCCACATCGCGTTCTCTACGATTCGCGATGGCGGCCGTTACCGGGGAGGCTCCCCCCCTTCCCCCCAACACCCGGTAGCGCCACGCTCCGCGCCAGTCCCGTTTTTGGGAACTGGTTTGGGCAGCTGATTTCCAGACGGCGCCGGCCCTCCAGGAGATGCCACATCCAGGCGGAGTGCGCCCAGGCGGAAGCCGAGCACTCCGCACGGACTTACCTCGCACGGGCGCAGCCTCCTCCAAGGGGGGGGGGGGGGCACCCGACGCCGACCCAGGAGAGCGCGCGGGCCTCCGAACTAGCGAGCGAGGATCGGCAGTGGGCCTTGCGCGAGGCGGCGCAGCGACCGTGCGCGGGCGCGGCGGCTTGCGTGGGCCGCACGCGCGGCACACCGCGTGGGGAACGAGGGCGCCTGCGCCGCACGCGCGACCTCACGCGGGAAGCTTGGGCGCGAATGGCGGCGCAGCGGGACCCACATGTTTGTTGCCGCCCATGTGTGTGTGTGTGTTCGCGAGGGAGGCTCTGGGCACCCATGATCCACAAGCATATCTTCTCCTCGGGGTGTATCTTTGACGCCTCGTCTTCGGCACCGCCGGATTCCGGGGCTTTGCCCCCTCCTGGCCTTGACGTGAGGCTCCTCCCTCTGCCCCCCCCCTCGCTGTGAATTCAGGCTGTGCGCGGCCCGCTTAGCTTCGACCAGAAGAGGTGCGCTCTCGACCCGCGGATCAAAACAAAGTGTTCGCGAGGGAGGCTCTGGACACCCACACTCCACGAGCATATCTTCTCCTCGGGGTGTCTCTCTGACGTCCACCGGCCTTTGCGCCCGCGGGGCCGCCGCCGTCTCCTGTTCGCCGGCTGCCCGCGGCAGAGGAGAGACGTCACCCCCCCGAGATCCCCTCGAGGGGCGAGGCCCCGTTCCCGGAGCGCCCCGAGCGTGCTCGTGCAATTGGCTTGGGTTTTGTCGGGCCTCTCCAGGCCCCCGCGCGCGCGCCTGCCGCGTCAAGGGGGGAGAGAGCCGCGCGCGCCCGAGGAGCGACGGTGCCGGGGCCGGGGGAGCGTGGAGCTTCTCGAAGTACCCAAGGCACCATGGGGGGCATTCTGAGGAAAAAACGCCTCTGGAGCCCCCCCCCCCTCCAGTGTCCCGAACGCGGCATGAAGGGGCGCGGAATTGTTCGCCGTGGGGATCCCCATCTGTACTTCCTACGTTGCAGCGCTGTCCCTTGGGCGCGTCTGACTGCGAGCGAGCCTGGGCGGGCCCGAGTCCGAGTACGAGCGGCAGAGTACGAGTGAGTCTGAACATGAGTGAGTCTCAGTATGAGTGACAGAATATGAGCGGGTCAGTCCACCAGTGGGTCTTCTAATGAATGGGTCTAGTTATGAGCGGCTCTGGGAACAAGGAGGTCTGAGTAGGAAAGGGTCTGAGTATTATGCGCCACTCTAAGTACGAGTGATTTGGGTGGGCTGGCCAGGAATGGGTCTGACTGTGAGGACGTCTGGCTATGAGTGCGTCGGAGCATAAGTGGGACTGCTTTATACGAGTGGGTCCGAGTATGAGAGAATGAGTGTTGAATGAGTTCGATCGGGTCTAGATGGGTCCGAGTATGAGTGGATCTGAGTGTAAGAGAGTCTGTGAAGGAGTGAAGACGTACTGGCATCAGGGGCCTCCTTCGGCCTTTTGGGGGTTCGTGGGCCCTCCTGGAGCTTGCTTGGACCTCCTCGGGCTTCCTGAAACCTCCTGGGATCTCCTGAGGCTTCCTGGGTCTTCGCGGAGCCTCCTGGGGCGGGCTGCGTCTATGGAGGCAGGGGGCTTCTTAGAAGACGTCATGCCTTCTAAGAACCCTTCCCACAAGCCGCTCCTTGTCCCTTCTAAGACACACCCTGCGCGCCGCTTACGATTGGGAATTAAGTCGAGTGGATGGAATTGGATCGGATCTGATCGTGGCTGTCTCCCGAGGTGGTGACGTGGCACCAAGCCAGAACTGACCAGTGCGGCGGCATGGAAGACAGCCCAGTCGTGCCCGTACTGACTGCGACTGTACCTGTGGTGACACGAGAGGGGGAGAGGAAAGAGTGCGATAGACTACGTGTTCGACTTGCCCATCGACCATCGGCGGGCTGCGGCGGTTTGCGGTGATATTCTGCAGCCCCTGGCGGTTAATAAGTGGTCTCTGGCGCGAAAACTTTGACGATTACGCTTCATAGTGGGTCCAAGATTGAAGCGTCCACCGAGATACAACAAGATACAACAAAAAACGCGGTGCGGAAGCTCCGGGAGAGGGTTCAGACCTCCCATGTGGTGATTTGCCTCCAGAACACTCGACCACTTCCTGTGGACGGTGTGGTTTGCCCTGGTGGATGGTTTTGCGAGCCTCAGGAAGCCGAGTGTTACAAGTACTGAAGAAAGATCAAGGCGCCGGATGCCTGCAGATTGCGGCAACGGGGCCTCTGGATCCCTTCAAGGCCGACTTTTCCTCCTGAACCGCTTCTGAACGTGAGGACCAGCAGCGACCTCCCGAAACTGGAAAAAAAACAAAAACAACAACAACAACAACAACAACAACAACAACAACAACAACAACAACAACAACAACAACAACAACAACAACAACAACAACAACAACAAAAAAAAAAAGGTCCGGTGGTGTCTGCGTCTGCGCCTCTGCTCTCCGCGTGGAGCCAGAGGTCCGCGGGGGCCCCCCGGCGGAGACCTCGGAGACCTCTGAGGGCCGAGGGCACGGGCAAGAGACACGACTCTGAAGCCTCGATCCTCGGACCTCGAACCCAAGGGAACTGCGTGCTCTCTGAGGTCGATCTCGGCCTCGGCAGGCTGCGCGCTCGGTGACCTCGAGCGCGACTCACGAGAGCACGCAGCTCCCTCGTCGGCCGCATGACACGCAGGAGCGACCCCAGGCAAGAACGAACTTCGGGGCGCGGCTTTAGGCGGGGGGGGGGGGGGGGCGCAATCCGTTTGCATCGTCGCATCGCATTCAGCGATCGGGGGGGCCCAGTGCCGGCTCGCCCGAAGTGGGTACGAGAAGCCTGGGCGCGATGCCCAACAGCAAGTGGAACCCCAAACCAGAAGCGGCCGCTGTTGGGCAGGCAACTCTCTGCGAGGCGGGGTCTTATCCAGATCCACCACATGGGAACCGACGTCTTGGTGCCCCAGCGAGCGGTGGGCATGGATATATTTTTGCCTCTGGGGCCCCGAATATGTCCATACACACCGCCTGTGGGGGTCCGCGAAAATCGATTTCCCAGGCGGTGGTTATGAATATATCTCCGTTTCGGACTCTCTCTCCAAAGGGCAACGTCCGCTGCAGCTGGCCTTCGCCCCCATTCCTTGCGTACCCACTTCGAGCGCACCGATCGGCTACACGCGAGAGTGGCCCCGGGCAAGACTGACCTGTGGTGCGCGGCTTCAGGGGGCCGTGAGAGATGCCAAATCAACGCTGGGAGGTGGACCACACCATTGTTCATGCCCCTTGGCATCGCCTGGATCGCACCTGCCGAGGGAAGTTTCCCCCCCGGATGGTGGCGTTGGGTGCAGCGCCTGCGCAACCCAGGAGGCCCGAGCATCCCCCGCATCCATCTGCGCCAGCCAGCGCTGGCGGGACCCGTGCGGAAGGTCACTTCTGCAAAGGGTCACCCTTGCGCGTAGCCGACGGGCCCCCCCCCCCCCTCGGCGAAGGGCCGCCCTGCGCCGACCTCGGATAGCGACGGCCGCGGGGCGCTCCCGCCTCCGCGCCGCCGCCGCCAGCCCGCGCCGCGCACGCGGCGCGCGTGCGCGCGCGCCCGCGCCGCGGCGGCCCTGCCCCGCGGCAGCCCCGGCGGAGGACCCGCCGCGCGCCGGCGGCGCACAGCGCGCCCGCGGCGCCCGCGGCGCCTGCGGCGGCCGCGCGGGGCGCGGCCCGCGGCGGCGCGGCGGGCGGCCGCGGGGCGGCGACGCCCGCCAGCCGCGCGGGCGTCAGCGGCGCGGGCGCGCCGAAGGCCGCTGGGCGAGCCAGCATCCAGCGCGGCGCGCCGTGAGGCAACCTCCTCCCCCTCCCCCTCCCTCGTCCTCCTCCCTCCTCCTCCTCCTCCTCCTCTCCTCCTCCTCCTCCTCATGATGATGATGATGATAACGATGATGATGGTGGTGGTGATGATGATGCTGACGATGACGACGACGACGACGACGACGACGACGACGACGACGACGACGATGATGATGATGATGATGATGATGATGATGATGATGATGATGATGATGATGATGATGATGATGATGATGGCAATGACGATGATGATGACGATGATGATGATGATCATGATGATCATGATGATGATGTTGATGATGATGCTGATGATGATGATGGTGACGATGACGATGATGATGATGCTGATGATGATGGTGGTGCTGCTGGTCAATGATGCTGACGATGATGATAATGGCAATGACGACGACGATGACGATGACGACGACGATGACGACACGGATGACGATGATGATGGCGATGCTGATAGCGATGACGTCATTGTCGTCGTCATCGTCGTCGTCGCGCCATCGCACCTGTAGGTCAGATTTCGAAAAAACTGGCTGAAGTTCAGAGTCCGAAAGATGTCTGCGGCCAAGGGGACCCCAGCAGGGGTGTCCGATACCCCAGCGTCGTTTGGACCAGCTGAGATAAGGTTCGCAATGGTTCGTCGCAGTTCGGAGGTGCACCGCGGCGACGTCGGGGTGGATAGGGCTGGGCTGCCGATCGAGCCGCATCGCCGGCGCGCCGGCGACACGTCGCCGACCTCAGCGCACATCCAGCGTCGTCTTTTGTCACTGCTCCTGGCTCGTTCCTGAAACCATGGATCCCAGCAAACTGGGGGCACAAGATTTGCTTCCGCCGGCTTCCGCTGGCCCTCCGCCGGCGGAAAAACGTCATCGTGCTGCGTTCCCCACCTTCCGCCGACCTCTCGCCGCCCGCCGCCGTGGAACACATGTAAACCTTTAGATTCCCTTTCCTCGAAGGCGAAACCCTTTTCTAGGGGGCAAACAAACCTGCCTCGCTTTTGACCACCCTCGCCTCCAAGAGGTACCAAGCGATGCCAAACTACGGCCTGCACTGGCCAGGCCGCTTGACGAGGAGGCGAGTGTGGTATGACTTGGTGTTGCCTGGAAGCGAAAGCGGGGTAGGCAATTCACGCTCTGATTTTTGGAGCTATACGTGGAGCCTCTGTGGTCTCGCCCCCTTCCCTGGGACCCGCTTTTTTCATCCCGGGCGTTTCCCGGCGGCCTGCCTTGCTGCGCAAGGGCCCCCACGCGAAGCCGAAGACGGGCCAGGCACGCCCGCTGTGAGCTGTGCCGCGACGCGAGGCGGTGGCCTGGGCTCGGGGTCGAACATCGGCCCCCAGCCAGACCTGTCCCCGGGGCGAACTGGGGCCAAGACTTCGAGGCGGACCCCATCCGTGACGACGAGGGAGCCCCCACAGGCTCACAGACGGGGCTGGAGGCACCCCAGAAGCATCCAAGCTCGAGGTTCGAACCCTCTGCTCTGAGATCATTCGGGCGGCCTGTTGAGCCATCCCTGAGATCCGACGGCCCGAAGAAAATGCCTGGGCCCCATTTTCCTGAGACATTCCTCGAGCCGGATCGATCCGTGGGGATCCATGGCCCAAACTCGGAAGACAACGACAGCTCAAAATCGATCCCCAGACCCCTTCCAAGGTCCAAACGCACGAGTTTTCCAAGCTGCGCTCAGCCGTGAGGACGAGGGTGACCCCCCGTAGGACTGCTTCTGTCTCAACTCGCCCTCCTCTGACAAATCCGGGCGAAATCGCTCAGCACGAGCAAAAAAGAGGAGCCACGATCTCAAGGACTGGGCTTCCCTTATCCGACCCCTATCCCCACTGGCGTGGCCTTGGCCCTGCTGGTCGACTTACCCTCCTGGATGGGGATGCGGGCTGTTCCCTTCGAGTCTCGAGGGGCAGATCCCCAACTAGGATCGATGGTGGGGGTCGAGATGGGGATAGGGATAGGGATCGGTCCAACGATACTGAAGGCCGGGCAGAGGGAAGAGCGGGGAGGCTTGGAGGCCTGGAAGTGGGCACCAGCACCAACACCAGGGGGTGCCTCCACGCAGGGGGGAGATGATCCTAGAGTTCGGTGTTGGCGGGAATACTTCGGCCACCTTGGAAGCCGAAACACGACCACCATCGCCGAGATCGGGATCGTCTTCCCTCGGTGGAGAGGCACACCGCCGACCTTGGTGTTGGCGTCAACCTCCAGGCCTGCGAGAGGCGCCGCCGTAGGGGGGGGGGGTGGGAGGAGGGGGGTCGAGCCGCAGCGGCTGCGCGGCGGGCGCCCCGCTCGGCGCTCCTCCGGGTGCCCCGATGCTTCGCGCCCGTGGTTCTGGCCTGCAGGAGGTGCGAATCCCCACAGAGCGCACCATCCTGGCATCGGGGGCGGCCAGGAGTGGGGGCGTCCAAGAGTGGGGGGTGCAAATCGTGGCCGGCGGCATGTGCGCGGCCCAGGGGGGGGGGGGCCAGGGAACGCATTGAGACAAGAAGAGGCGCCATGAAATCTGGGGAAACATCATGGCCCCCGCCATGATATCCTATCCACCCCCCCATAGTCATCACCCCCCTCTTTGCCGCCCCCGATGATAGGGCACATGCATGCGTCGGCCACGCGGCCGGGACAAGCAGGCGCTACCCGTGACCTTCGTTGCCTGGCCATGTGCCCAGAGTTGGGGCAACAGAGTGGAACCTCCTGGTCCCGCGATCCTGGTCTCCCCGTCCGACGCGGGGGGGGGCGCAGCGGAGAAGGGTCTGGAAGCTGGTGGAACTCGAATCGTGGACTGGCGGCGGGAGTCAAAGCCGCCCTCATCAGAGAAGAAGGCCTCCAGGGTCTGAAGCGCGATGGCACGTTCCCTGACCAGCGCCCCCACCGTACCGTTCTTTTCCCTCCATGGCTTATCTCTGGGAAGCGGCTGGTATTGATTGAAGACTGCTCTGGCTGAGCTCTCCTGGACAATCGTGGACATCACACCAAATCCTACCAGCCCCTTGGGCGCAGGTGGTCAAACGAGTTCTCGATTTCCTCTTTTCAGAAGCCCTCTTCCCTCCGCAAGGTTTACCTCCCCTCCTCCCGGAAGTTTATTTTCCTGGGGGGGGGGGGGGGGGGCGAAGTGCCAAGGCGTCCAAGATTGCCCAAGATGGCTCCCAGAGGGCAGCCGATGCTGCAAGATGGCCTCCAAGATGGCTCAAGATGGTTCAAGATCCGCCACCGTACCGCTGGGCACGGAACGGGCGTGTCCTCAGGTCCCAGGGCTGGACCCAAATGGTGTTTTTCGTTTTGTCTTCGTCTTGCTGTTCGTTTTGCTCGACCTGTGTTCCTTCACCTCCCTCCCAAAACGAAAAACTTTGTTTTGGTCCGCGGGTCGAGAGCGAGCCTCTTCCGGTCGAAGCTAAGCGGGCCGCGCACAGCTGTAATTAATAGAGGAAGGAAAACAGAAGCAGGGGCCTCACGTCAAGCCCAAAACACGAAAAACAAAACGCAGCCGAGATCCAGCACAACACCGTTTGGATCCAGCCCTGTCAGGTCCTTTGTCCAATCCTCTGGGCCTCACTCCTCGCGTTTCAGGGCTCTTTGAGGGGCCCGGGCCTCTCGCGCTCGAGTCTCCAAAGGGCCCGGCGCGTGCCCCGCTGGGCCCCGGGCAGTGCTGTCGCAGGAGTTCTTCGGGCCCGCGAATTCGTGCGCAGAAAACGTCTATACACCACCTCCTCCTCCTCCTCCTCCTCGTCCTCCTCCTCCTCGTCCTCCTCCTCCTCCTCCTCGTCCTCCTCCTCCTCCTCCTCCTCCTCCTCCTCCTCCTCCTCCTCTACCGTGCCAAGCCAGGGCCATCCTGGGCCCTAGGATGGTGTATACGCCTTCCTGGCCGAGGCAAGGTGGGTCTATACACCTTCCTAGGGCCCAGGATGGCCCTGGCCTGGCACGGTGGTGGTGTACAGAAGCCTTCGTCGGAACGAAGGCACCAAGACGGGCTTCCAGAGGACCCCTAATAAGCCCCCAAGGCGGTCCAAGAGGGCCCCGAGCCGCCGAACGATCGCTCCAAGATGCTCAACGTGACCCCCATACGGCCCGAGAGGCCTCCAAGGGGCCTCCAAGAGGCCTCCCAAGAGGGCCCCAAGAGGCCAAAATCATAGGGTTTCCTTTGGTTTTGAAGGACTTGGGCGTTCTCGCCTTTTCGGCTTCCCGACGCTCCCACTCGGCCCTAGAGGCCCCCACGACCGCCCCCAGACGGCCCAAGAAGCCGCCAACAGGGCCCCAAAACTACCCAAGAGGACCCTAAGACGGACCAAGAGGCGCCCAAAACGGCCCAAGAGGGCTCCAAGACGGCCCCAAAAAGGACCTAAAAGAGGGAACACAAACCGAAAATCCGAGCCTTCCGCCCAACAAGGCCCCCTGGATGCCCCAAGAGGAGCACAGGAGGCCCCAAGAGGCCCTCAAGAGGCTCCCGACAGGCCCCAACAGGCCCCAACAGCCCCAAGAGGCCCAACAGAGGCTCAAAAGAAGCCCCAAGATGCTCCCCAAAAGGCCCCAAGAGGAGTCCAAACTGCATCCAAGAGGCCACCGAGAGGCCTTGCACGACATCCAACGGGACGCGCTCTGGGGTCGAAGGTGAAGTGGTTGGAGGTTGAAAGTCAACAGGTGGAGATAACAGTCTGGAAAAGTCGGAGGCTGTAAGTCTGGAGTCGGAATGTTGCACTGGTGGACGCTGGAGGTCGACAAGTGGAGGTGGGCGTGGAGAGCCGGATGCCGGAAGGTGGAGGTTGGAGCGCTGAGCTGCTGGCCCACCGGAGGATCAAGAATTGTCGTGCTGCCCCTGGTGGCAGGCCAATTTCTTTTTTTTGACGTGCCTACTGCACTGAAGGGGAGCGAGCGGGGGGGACCGGCTCGGAAGGGGCACCGTCGGCCTCGAACTGGCGGTAGATCGCCGACAGATCGGCGACAGGCACCCGACGGCGAGGCCGCACGTCCCTGGGCGGTGGTGGGCCATCGGGTCCCCATCGGCGACCCGGATGGGCGGTCGGGGGTCGATGCATCCCCCCCTGAGCCTGTCTCCCCCTCACGTGGGCCCAGCTCCCCCCGGAGCCTATCTGCCCCTTACGTCGCTGAGGATGATGATGGTGATGATGATGATGATGATGATGATGATGATGATGATGATGATGATGATGATGATGATGATGATGATGATGATGATGATGATGATGATGATGGTGGTGGTGGTGGTGGTGGTGGTGATGATGATGATGATGATGATGATGATGATGATGATGATGATGAAGATGATGACGATGACGATGACGATGACGATGATGATGATGGTGAGGAGGAGGAGGAGGAGGACGAGGAGGAGGAGGAGGAGGAAGAGGAGGAGGAGGAAGAGGAGGCGGAGGAGGACGGGGAGGAGGCGGCCCCCTGGGCCTCCATCTCCCCCCCCGAGCCTCCTCACCCCCCTTGGACGCTGCCCGGTAGACCCCCTTCCCCCAGGGGGGCAACGCCGCCCACCACGCCAGAGCGGCCCTCGGGCAGGAGAGGCCCGCTGGCGCGCGGCATCCCGACGGTGAAGCTGGCCCGCGGCGCTGCAGTCCAAAGAGCTACTGTAGTCTCTTACACACGTGCAGGCACCATTCTCCTGCACAGGTGCAGGCACAGCACTCTTACACAAGGACAAGCACAACTCTCCTACGCGAGTACAGGGTGTTGTGTTTTGGTGCGGTTGAGGGTTCCCGGACGGTTGCCTTCCAACGGGCCACTTCCACCACCCGGCCTCCGCATCAGCGCCTCCTCCTCCTCGCCCTCCTCGTCGTCCTCCTCCTCCTCCTCCTGCTCCTCCTGGCCCTCCTCCGCAAGCCTTCCCCCCCCCCGCCGTCCCGCGCCCGAGGGCGCGCCTGGCTCCCGGCCCTGCGGCTGCGGCGCTCCGCCGCGGACCCCTTGAGGGCAGCACCTCCGTGCGCGGGGAAGGGCCGAGGGGCTGCCGAGGGCCGCCACGGGCTCGCGAGGGGCTCGCGAGGGCCGCCGAGGACCCGCGAGGGCCGCGGGCCAAGGTCGTGCAGATGCTGCGTGACTGCACGACGGTTGGGAGCTGCGAAGAGACGCAGGACAGGAATGCGCGGCCCTCGTGATGCCGATGCCGGGGCCAGGCTCGCGCCCCGACCGGCTCGATGACAAGATCGGTGTCGGGCTCGCGCTCCCGACCTCGGGTGCCCTGCTCTTGCGAGGGGAGGTGGCTCCAGCAGCTTCTGCCAACGAGAAGGGCGAGCTACAGCACCAATTTGTTTACTAGGGGCAGTGGTTCCAGCAGCCCTCGACGTGGGCTCCAGCACCCAATTCTCACGAGGGGAAGTCGTTCCAGCAGACTATGCCGACAAGAAGGGTGGGCTGTAGTTTGAAAGGGGAGCTAGAGCCCCAACCACTAACTCACCCTCAGCCCGTCAAAACCCCTCTAGCAAAACATTCACCTAACTGGCCAGTCGTGTGAACATTGTGAGTAGCTTTTTGTTGATCGCATATCAACAGACCGGAAGCTCACACGCACGCGCGCGCTAACGCGCACGCGCTCAGGCTCGGGCTCAGGCTCACGCGCTCAGGCTCGGGCTCGGGCTCACGCTCGCGCTCGGTCCCGGTCGCTGGGTCGGGCACGCACTTGGGCTCGGGTATTCATCTCGCGCCCCAACCTGCGCACGCACGCGAGAACGCGCACACGCGCGCACGCACGCACAGGCGCAAGCACAGGCGCACGAACACGCACAGGCGCACCAACACGCACGCGCTCACGCACACGGACGGACACGCTCACGCGCACGCGCACGCGCGGCTCGAGCTCGGTCTCGGGCTCACCTGGGCACGCGCGCGCACGCGCACGCGGATTGCGCCCGCCTGGGAGTGAGGCGGGACTGCAGTGCTAGAACCCCCACCCCCTAGGCCCCGTCGCATCCCCCTCCCGCGTCGCAGCCCCGCCCCTAGGCCCAGGGTTCTCTTTTAGGGGGCTTTCCCCTGGAACCGACTTGAGGTGGGCCGGCAAATTTCTTCTGCGATAGACAACGAGGAAAGGGTGGGCCGGCGAATTAAACATTTGAGGATGTCCCGAGCGAAACGCTTGTTTTGCAGAAATTGCTGAGGATGTCTCGAACGAAACGTTTGTTTTGTGTTATAGCTTGTCCCCCACTGGGGGCCAGAACTCAGAGGATCTCTCAAGTGAAATATGTGTTTTCACGTGCCCAGGTCTTAAGGATGTCTCGAGCGAGACGCTTGGTTTCACGCCTCCAGGCTGCCCAGGCAGATGTCTAGCATGAGGACTTGTTGAGGATGTCTCGAGCGAGACGCTCGTTTTCACGCGTCCAGGTCGCCCAGGCGGATGTCTAGCATGAGGATATGTTGAGGAAGTCTCGATCGAGACGCTTGTTTGCACGTATCCAGGTTGCCCGGCTGGATGCCTAGCATGAGGATGTGTTGAGAATGTCTTGAGCGAAACGCTTGGTTTCACGTGTCCAGGTCGCCCAGACGGATGTCTAACATGAGGATTTGCTGAGGATCCCTCAACGCTACACAACGCTATAGAGCACAATCGCTGAAGGAGGACTCGATCCACAACGCTATAGAGCACAATCGCGGCATGGCACATCGAATTTCAGCACGGCGCAGCACAGCACAGCCCTCGGCACTGTAAATCAAGACCGATACGCTCAGCATGGCAACCTGGCACGTTCCCTAGGACGTTCCGTGGCGCGTCCCGTGGCGAGTCCCCCTCGCACGTCGCGCGGCGCGTCCCCTGGCACATCCCGTGGCACGTCCATCGGCACGTTCCGTAGCGCGTCCCCTTGGCACGTCCCGCGGTGCGTCCCCATGGCACGTCCCCTGGCACGTCGCCTGGCGCGTCCCTTGGGACGTTCCGCGGCGCGTCCTCTTGGCATGTCCCCCTGTCAATGAGCCCTCGGACAGCTACTATGTGCTTGGCAGCTTGGACTTAAGATCCAG